TCGCTTGGGGCTAGATCTGGTGACTAGGATGGATGATCAAGCAGGTCAAACCGTAGTTCGTTGATTTTCACCATAGCAACCGCTGAGTTGTTGGACGGTGCGTTCTTTTTCTACAAATGTGGGTATTTTTTCGCAAATTCTGCCTTTATCTTGTCAAATAATGATGTGAAGAATACTTCTGTAATGGTTTTTTCTTTATAAAGATCGATTATGGCCACTATCTTGCACTGATGAGTGGCTAATGAGCCCGAAACCGGTCTGCAAGTGTGCCCGTTCCAAAATTGAAGGTCAATTCTTTCAGTTGTTTGCCAATTGCATATGCAGGAAACTTTCTGTGAAGATTCCTGCACTGACGCTTGTCGGATATAATCCAACGCCCTTCGTGGTATTAGCCAGGGGAGTAGTTGTTTACTGATGGGCGTCAGTCCATTCAACCTACTGTGTAGGTATATTCGAGACTGGCTTCAACGTTTAAAGTTCATTTCTTTAGGAAGATAATTGATTAAAATAACTCCATAACTATCACAGAAAACAGTGGCCATCCTTTTCTCAGCCGAAAAACAGTTGTCGGTTTCATTTGGAGCCGGATCCCGCTTGCAGTTCACTGTTTGGGCGTTATTTTTGTTTCGGGCGTAAAATGGTGTATCCATGTTTCATCTACAGTAATTACTCAACGCCGAAAATCGGATTTATTGTGCCTAAACTGCGCCAATAAAGCGTTGGAAATGTTCATTCGAACACGTTTTTAGACTAACGTGAGCAAACGCGGAACTCAACGCGCGGCTAGCTTTCTCATGCCTGAATGTTGATTTAATATGTGACAAACACGTTCTTTTGGTATGTTCATAACCTCTGGTATATCTCTCACCTCAATTCGGAGGTCGTTTAGCACCATTTGGTGAATTTTAGCGATGTTTTATTCAGTAGTTGCAGTTTTTAGACGTTCCGAACATTCATTGTCTTCCAAGCTCCTACTGCCACATTCAAATTTAGCTGTCCAAAATATCTCTGTGGTAAATGATGGTGCAGAGTCCACATACACAGAATTCAACCCATCTTTGATTTGCATAGGGGTCCTGCCTTCGAAAAACAAATATTTTATGAAAGTTCGATACTCGATTTTGTCTGTTTTCTTGAAAATACTTACATCAACTCACTTACATAACTTGGCGTCTAAAATGGCTAAAACTTTGGTGTATAATTGTAAACAGATTATAACCTACCTTGGTATTTATGTAATTACCAAAAAGTAGCTCTGTCCAGGCTAGTCGATTATTGTCGGGGCTAGACGTGAGTAAGGAAAATGCGTTTTTTTAACAGTCGAAATAGATGGAAAAAAGTAAGTGCTGGGGCGTCAGTTGAACAGATTCAAGAGGGAGGGGGTGGAGAAATAGCCACAAAGTCAACAACGAATCTCCAAGCTTGAAATTTATACTACATTGATATATAGAAAGAAATATTCACAAACTTCACTACCAACTGATGTGTGTAATAACTCAAAAATTGTTTTTCGTATATTATTTGCAACGAACTTATTTAGAAAAAATCAGGCAAATATATATGCATCAAGTTTAAGGAACCAATACTTAATACTGAACCAAACGTTTCGACTAAAGATATTAATACGGGGTTATAGGCCGTTTTGATCACGATATTACTACTGGGGAACTCTTATCACGGAACAATACTGAATCAAAATATTCGAGTATTACACTGACGCAGACAGATCATCACATGAATTGAAAGGGAGGGAACAAATGAGTAGTGGAAAGTAACTGAATCATAATCTATCCAGAAACTACTTTTCGATTAACTACAATTAAACTCGATAATTATTACCCCCGTCAACAGCTGTCTTAGGTGCGCAGAGAAAGGGTAAATACTTAAACTATCCTCTACTTTTTAAGGAATGAACTGTAGATTCCAGTAATCAGACCGCCCCAAAATATATCCTCAATATCAGGGCTTCTACTCACGGGGTATCATCATTTTTGATATTTTTTGTTTACTTGCTACGGTTCTCCGTGGTACTTTCTAGAATGTCTCCTCGTATCTCAAAGAACGACGTGTATGATGCAACTATAACTTTTCCGATATCTCCAATCACTAGATAAATACGCCTTGAAAGCTGTAAAAATGAATGAAAGGTCGGACAGTGCTCGACGTGAATCTTTCACAGGTGATGTTTTCATTCTTGTCCAAAAAACCTTAGATGTTTTTAGGTTTCGGACGGTCCCTAGCTAGAGCCTTGCTTTCGTGTCGGCTTTACGATAAATACTCATCTGAATCGTTTTTAAATCCTGACCGTGAAACTAATAATAATAATAATATCGTTTATTATGCATAAAAACACATTTGTACATAGAAGGAAAAGGGTTAGCCAAAGGCTATCTTTCACCCCTCCCAAAAATTAAACAGTGAGTGTGAGATAATAATTATTAAAATACTTATTCATCTACTATCATAACAATGATAGAGAAGGAAAGAATACATCACATAGTTGCTAATAACTCTTTTATATTCTTAACATTATTTTGGTCAATTTGACAATTTCATTACACTACCATACATTGACTTTTGAATTTTTTCAAATTAGCACTGAGCAGTAAGCATTTGTGATTTTATTTATTTCTTTCATTGATGAATATTATGATTCATCATACATTCGAAGTACATTGAATTCAGCTACCCATCACTTTGAGGTTCAATGTATTCAATGTGTACTTCTGACATATGCCACTCTCGGAAACAAAGCGGGCTCAACAAATTTAATACTTCTGGTAAAAAATATATAAACAAGAGACAAATTCTCAACCTTCCTACTATCAAGATCAGTAAACATTATTTTATACATTGAATAGGAGTGATATTAGTTTTAACCTTGGAAGCAGATGTCCCAAAATAAATATTACTTTTCATGGAAAGACAAAGAGCTATCTATGGTAACGCCAAGATTTTTAGCACTGTCTACCCAGTCAATGTCTGCGTTATCGAAAGTGAGCCAAAAGTTACACTGAGTTTCTACTATTTGTCTTTGAGACCCTATGCATAAGGCCAAAGTTTCATTTGGATTGATTTTCAGTCCATGATTCTCCGAGTATAGGAATGTTTTGTGCAAATCTGTGTTTATATTGGCCACGCAACTTGTCTGTATCAGTGTTATGAGAAGACAAATATAACTGTATATCATCTGCGTATAAATGTACTTGACAATGTGATAAGAAAGTGGGGTAATTAATAATAAGCACTGGAAACATCAAGGGTCCTAAAATACTTCCCTGCGGTACACCTGAGATTGTTTCCTTCAGGGATGACCATGAGTAATCATCCAGATTGACCCTCTGTGATGGGCCTGTGAGATAGCTAGTCATCCATTTAAGAGGAATGCCACCGAATCCTATGAACTTGAGCTTGCGGATGAGCAAATCGAAATTAACTAAATCGAAAGCTTTACTTTCATCATGCAGTACTGAAATGGTAATTCTCTGAATTTCGCAAGATCGTCGATTACTTTGAAGAGGGCAGTCTGTGTTCCGTGTTTTTGGCGGAACCCAGACTGCTCGTACGGGAGTATTCGATTTTCTTCAAGAAAAGCTCTCATTTGACGGGAAACATTCATCTCAAATATTTTAGAGAATGATTGCAAAATGCTTATAGGTCGTAGGTCACTTAACGTGGTAGGTGCATTCTTTTTCGGAATTGGAATTATATTTTCAACCTTCCAAACATCCGGAAAAATACCCTGGACTCGTTACAATACAGTGTGGTATCACTGAAAAAATCATCTTGATATTTATATTGTCATACCTAAAGCATTAGGTATTAGCAGTCAAAATATCATCATCACATATATCGGTGAGGAAAAAGTTCATAGGAGCGTTCAATTTATTATTATTATCGAATGAAACAGTGTTATTTATTCACTATTGAATGTCCAGCCACGTTTACAAAATAGCCATTGATTTCTTCAGGTCTACGTAGTTCAATTGGCAGGCTATTGGTTTGCGAGGACGATTTTGTAGTAACACCCCAATCTGCAAGATTTCTCCATGCCATTTTTGAATTGTTTTCATTTTTGTTCAAAACGAATTGTATATATGCTATTTTTTCACGTTGTACTGCGTCATTGACGTAGTTGCGTAAATTTACATAGTACTGTCTAGCTGCTGCTGCCTTTTCTTTAAGATATTTGGCATGCGCTCTATCACGGGTTTTCATCATCAATTTGATATTATAAGTTGTATACGAGGATGCTTTATGTTTTCTGTTCACAGTGCAAATTGGAGCATGTTTGTCGTTGAGAACATTTACTTTGGAATTAATATTTTGCATAGTGCCATAATCCCAATATCACCCCACTTGAGAAAAAAGTTCATGATTGAAATTCTTGAAATTTCTATAAAAAAAATCAAGTTATCATAAGTATCATCACCTTCGAAATCGATATCGCAAAATACCATCAGGTTATCAGTTATACCATTCATATTACTAATGCAAATGACATCAAACAGAGATTCAGAAGTTGCTGTTATCCGAGTAGAATTTTCTACAATTTGATTCATATCGTGAATAGTTGGCAGTGAATAGTTGAGTGTCGCGAGAGTCACAGTTTAACAAATTAACATTAATATCACGGTAGATGTTTCCAAATAGACTCGTTCCAGTATATCAGCTAACTCCTGCATATAGTCCACTACATTTGTTCCTGGTGGGCGATAAACAACTCCACAGGCTACTTTTTGTTCGTTTATCTCTACCGTACTCACTATTGTGCAGTTATCTGAATCAAAGAAAACAATGTGTAAAAATTAAAGACGTCAAGAGTGACCTACACACTGTTGAGTACGGCGTACCTCAGGGAACCGTTTTGGGTCCGCTACTTTTTAACATCTACCTGAACGATATGTTCTCACTGAATGTGGAAGGTGATATAATCAGCTTTGCTGACGACACTGCAATTATTTTAACATGTATTGAAATGTTTCACTTCTAATTTCCAGACAATCAACTGGGTGTCGAAGATAGACAGCCAGCTGTACCCTGTGATAACGACAAGCTCCACGAAACCCAACGAGCTTGCCGACCATATTGAAAATAGACTCAGCGCCGTCCTTCCAGATATCAGAAGAGCCCAAGCTGAGGTCAATCAAAGAATAAAGACGGCAGAATCCCTCGTCGCCAAATCCCCAGGAGACGACAAATCTCACAACATCACCAACAAACTACACGACTTGTACCAAAGACTGTCGGAAATATCGTCCGAATATCAAATCCTGTTGCAAGTTCTAATAGGGTATTTCAGGAATCTGGAAGAGATTGATAAGAAAGCTGATAATCTTAATGTTGAGTTGGAGAGAACAGGTTATCCTAAAGATATTTCGTCGATAGAGTCAATCTTGAGAGAGCATGAGTCATCCAGGCAAACCATTGTGGAGAGGTTGAGGTTTGCTCAGACAGAATGTGATCAAATATCGGAAAGAATTAGAAAGCAGGTAAGTCTAAGAGAAAACGTTATTTATCCGAGCATTTGGAGTTTTTTTTAATTACATCCATCACATTGAACCTCAGATTGGAAGACAACAAGCTGAATTTATTTTCAACTTTGTTTCAAAAACAATGATGATTGTTGGTCATTCAAATGAAATATTCGGCAGCCTTGATCTTAGTATTTTGATATTTGGACAAGTTGTAATCTTAGCCTAACAAATTCAAGATCCATCATGAAAAAGTGAAATTAATTTGCCTTTAGCAGATAATTTATGAAAATTGAAAGCATCATTCACTGATCCATCTGTTGAAGGTTTTTCAAAAACAAAACACAAGCACTAAAATTTCTAACGGCGCTCCTAGAGCGGTGCCTGTACGAAAGTAGGGATTCACATTGGATTTGAATCGCTGGAGATCAACTCCATTTGGAAAAACCTTCTCAGGCAGTTTATTTCATATAAACGTTGTTCTCCAGATGAAATAGTTTTTGAACAGTGAAGTTCGAGGTGTACTGAGATGAACCCCGAAACAACAAGCAGCCACAGTCCGTCGCGTATTTCTCATATGTCCGCTCTTGGTGGAGTCGAACGTGTCAAGTCACTTGAACACTTCCTATAAAAGTATCCATAGAAGAGAGACAAATCTCCAACTTTTCTTCAATATTCCAGGCTATCAAGGTTGCACGTAATGTTCGCGTCTCCAGTCAGGCGAATGGCTCTTTTCTGGATGGAATCCAGCAACTTCAGGGTATGTTTGGGCGTAGAGCTCCATACATGTGAACAATACTCCAAAGAAGGTTTGATCTGAGCTTCATAAAACATCAAGAGTTGCTGATATGTGTACAGTTTTCTGGTTCGGAACAGTTTTCCAAGCTTTTGAGAAGCAGCCTTTGCAATTCCAGCGACATGATTGTGTCAAGACATATTGGTGACCATTTAATCCCCCAACAAACTTATGGAAGTAGAAAGTGGGATTGTCTGACCTGACATTATTATATTCGGTTCGGAGGCATTTATATTCTTGGATAAAACCGATGCATGGATTTTTGTGGCATTGAATTGAACTTGGGTACTTTCACCCCACTTCGAAATCACTTCTAGATCCTCATTAAGATATGCAACCTCCTGCCGTCGATGAAGATGTGCATCCGCGGCCGATTTTCTGGAATCTAAATGACGGAACAAGTTTGCTGTCGTCAGCAAAGCAATATTTTGTATTCTTGGTGTTTTCCAGTAAGTCGTTGATATACAATAAAAAGAGGGTTGGAGGCAATAAGGATCTCTGTGGAACACCAGTGTTAATAGTGAAAGTATTCGAGAGATATCCATCGACGGCCACTTACAGGGAATGTTCTTTCAGGAAGCTGAAGTTTGGCCACCAAACTATCTTGCCACACACGGTCATAGGCCTCAGAAATATCAAGCGCAACAGCTCTTGATTCTCCATGTTTCACGATTGCGTGATTCCAAATATGGGTGACATATGATACAAGGTCGCCTGTTGATCTTTCTTTCCGAAAGCCATATTGATGATCGCTCAAGATGTTGAAGCCTTCCAAATATTTGAGTATATGGTGGTTTACGACTTTCTCCATGATTTTTGATACAACTGATAGCAAAGCGTCTGGTCTATAGTTATTTGGAAGACTTTTTTGCCTTTTTGGGAATAGGCTGAACGCTGTGGTATTTCAGAAATCCACTTGACCAAATCCAGAAGTTGTTTAGTTTTTTCTGTGGTATCAGAGTTTTCATCATGTAATTGCTTTTTGACAACACTAGTTACTGTTTCCTACATAGCACTTTCGTGTAATGCATTTTGTCTGAAAATGCCAGACATAGTTGAATCTTTAGGCACCGTATAACTATAATTTTAGTCATTACTCACTATCCACAGATCATATACGATTTATACATTCCCCTATTTTTAGAAAAGTGTATACATCTACATCTAACAGTAAATACTATCGAAGGTTCCCGCCTTTTCAATAATATTAATTTTTGACTATCACACTTTCATTTGCAATAGAGTAGTGATGTCACATGTTTTGCCAATTCTTTCAAGCTTAGCCCTTTCATAGAAGATATGATATTGTGAAAGGTGCTGGTAGTTATTGAATTGTTGACTGTTGAATATAAGTTTTTTTGCAGAACTCCCTGATCATTTTATAACTGCTCAATTTCTGTTTTAGTCATAAAAGATAGTTGATTGCATAAATACAATGGAATGTTCTGAATGAAAAGTTGTTTTACTACAGAAAATGTATTTTCAGGAACCTGAAACTGCTGCTGAACAAGACATCAACAAACTTCAGCACGTACTAGAACTACGAAGAGCTGAATTCGAGAATCAGTGGCGACAGAGGCATGACTCTCTGGAGTCACACAGACAACTGTGCGTTTTCGATCACGACCTCCATGAAATTAATGACAACATCGATGACCTCAATCGACAAATAAAGAATATCAAAGGACAATACGGGGAATCTGTTCCGAGTGCCAAAGCCACTTCGCAAACGTTTGGATATGTGGAAGAAACTATCGAGGTACGTTCAATGTACACCTCCCCCTTTTCTAAAAACAAATAATATTTCTGTCAACTTTAATTCCAATCAAAATACTGAAAATTGATTAATGACACTCTCAATTTTCTGTTTCACTAATAACGATAACTATGAAACTAGATGTACCAATACCAAAATAAATTAGACCCGGAAAATTTCATAATGTAAAAAACCAACTCGTAAACAGAAAATGAATGATGAACATTCTGAACATTTAATGGAATGGAATTATGTTAAGTTTTGAGATACAGAATTGATATACCTATTGAATGAAGTATTACGAGATACTACTTGAAAAATAAAATGATAGCGACCTCTCGGCGACGCTTTATGTAAAATTTTCACTGTTATTACCAAAAAGTACTGGAAATATTCCTTTTTACATTAATTTTGTCCAATATTGATATATTTTCCTGTTCGAAAGTTGAAAGGGGGAGACTACTTACGTCCGCACTGTATACACCTACAGTAAATACTGAGTATATGTGGAATAATTCTATTTCCAGTGAATATGATAATCTTCATAATGCTAATTCACTTTATAGACTTTGGAGCAGCGCATAAAGACATTCATCGATACAGGAGAAAGATTGTTGGCCGAACGTCATACCCACTCATCACATATCCAAAGCCAAATTTCCGATCTCCGGGATAGATGGAGTAACCTAAAGAATCAGGTGAAGACAATACGAAATCTTCTGGACCTCAGTATTCCTTACTTTGAATTAGTCGAAAAGGTAAGTGAAATGATATGTAATAAATAATAAATACATTTTGGCGGGTTCGTTCTCATTTTATCACCATTTATAGGCAGATGAATGGTTCAGAGAAGGAAGCAGACTCCTAGTGACAATAGCTCGAAAATCCACCACCGTCAAGCGTCCAGAAGAAGCCGAACAACTGTTGGACGACATTGCAACTTTCCTCAAACCCGGGGAAGAGAAGCAAAATGAAAGAATCAAAAAAATATCTGAACTAGCTATCCAACTATATGGTCCGGATCGAACAAAACACGCTCCAGTCCTGCACGGCAACAAAGAAATGCTGGACTCATTTTCTTCCATAACCAAAGAATTGAACACTCTGGCAGACAACCTGAGAGTCGCAGAACAAGAAAGACTCAGAGCGCAACGTGAACGGGAAGAAGCTCGTCTAGCAGAAGAAGCTCGCAGACTGAAAGAAGCTAGACAAGCCGAGGAAAAGCGCCTCGCTGAACAAGCAAGAAGAGCCGAAGAAGCCCGGCTTGTTGAAGAGAGAAGAAAGGCAGAAGAGCTGCGAATCGCAGAAGAGAATAGATTAGCTCAGGAGAGGATACGGGCAGAAGAACTCAGAATAGCTGAGGAGAGGAGGATGATCGAAGAAGCTCGACTAGCAGAGGTAGCTAGAATAGCTGAAGAAAGGAAAGTGGCCGAAGAGGCAAAATTGGCCGAGGAAGCGAGACTAGCTGAAGAACGAAAACAACTTGAGGAGGAAAAAAGAAAACTTGAGGAAGCTAGGAGGCTTGAGGAGGCCCGAAGAGTTGAGGAAGCACGAAAAGCCGCAGAGGCCAAGAGGCTCGAAGAAGCAAGATTAGCCGAAGAAAGAAGACTCGCTGACGAAGCAAGAAGAGCTGAAGAAGCACGGCTTGCCGAAGAAAGAAGAAAGGTCGAAGAAGCGCGAATAGCGGAAGAAAATAGACTAGCGCAGGAAAGAATAAGAGTCGAAGAAATGAGAATAGCTGAGGAAAGAAGGAGAATCGAAGAAGCTCGACTAGCTGAGTTAGCCAGGATAGCTGAAGAAAGGGAAAAGGCCAAACAGGCCAAACTAGCGGAAGAAGCTAGGCTGGCAGAAGAAAGAAGAAAACTTGAGGAAGAAAGGAGAAAACTAGAAGAAGCTAAAGTGGCCGAAGAAGCTCGAAGAGCCGAGGAAGCACGGAAAGACGCAGAGGCCAAACGCCTTGAAGAGGCAGAACTAGCTGAAAGGAGAAGGATCGCCGATGAGGCAAGAAGAGCTGAAGAAGCTCGACTTGCTGAAGAGAGAAGAAAAGCGGAGGAGGCACGAATAGCAGAGGAATTTAGGACAGCTCATGAGAAGATAAGGATAGAGGAACTGAGAATTATAGAACAAAGGAGAAACATTGAGGTATCACGCCTAGCTGACGAAGCAAAGTTAGCTGAGGACAGAAGAAAAGCTGAAGAATCACAGCAGGCTGAAGAGGCAAGGTTGGCCAACGAACGAAAGAAGTTGGAAGAAGAAAGAAGGAAGCTGGAGGAAGCAAAACTAGCCGAGGAAGCTAGACGAACTGAAGAAGTAAGAAGAGCTGAAGAAGCAAGGAAGCTGGAGGCTATCAAAGTAGAGGAGGCAAGATTAGCAGAAAAAGCTAGATTGGCTGAAATTGAAAGAAGAGAGGAGGAAGCCGAACGAGCACGCTTGGAAGAAATGGCCACAATCAAAAAGCAGCGTGAAGCTGAGGAGTTGCGTTTGGCTGAGGAAAGAAGGAAGGCGGAAAAGGCTAAATTAGAGGAACAGCAGAAGCGTAAGCAGTCAGTAGAAATTACTGAAATCACAGACACTCAGAAAATCGAAGTACTGACATCTTCTACCAAAAGGGTACCGTCACCTATTCCGATAGTGGAAGATGCTATGGAACCACCAATTTTCATCTCGCCTCTGAGTGACGCGGTTATACAGGAGGGATCAAAGTTCACGTTCATTTGCCAAGTTGTAGGGCATCCCCAGCCTACAATAACCTGGTACAAAGCTGGAATTTCCATTCAGAACAACCCAGACTACCGAACGGCTTTTGAAAAGGGGCTTTGTTCTCTCACGATAGAAGAAACCTTCGCTGAAGATTCCGCAAGATACACCTGCAGAGCTGCCAATGCAGCAGGTGAGGATGAGACAACCGCCTTATTGTCGGTGAAGGAGACCGAACCTGAAGAGATCCTCACAGCACCCTCGTTTACGAAACATCTACAGGCTTCGGTAGTTAGAGAAGGTTCGACATTTCAGTTCGAGTGCAAAGTCGAAGGCAACCCACTCCCCTCCGTTCAGTGGTTCAAGAATGCTGATTGTATCGACAATTCTCCTGATTATATTAGCACTTATAATAATGGAGATGCAGTTTTGAAATTTGAAAAGGTTTATTTGGAAGACAAAGCCGATTACACCTGTAAAGCTTTCAATCAGTCCGGAGTAGCACAGAGTACTGCCAATCTATTGGTAACACGTAAGTATTATGAGTATTTGATTCTTGGCATCCTTTCACGGCTCAGATAAAAAAATTATAGTTCATGTTTCATTTTTGTATGTGATAAATTGTTAAACAAAGAATGTCATGTTCGTTTCAAAAAGATTAACCAGACTCATGTAACAATATCTCAACTAGTAACCTGATCATGATAATATTTACGTGTTTGCACGAGATGCCTCCCAAATATTTGAAAAAAGTTTATACAATTGAAATTCGAGAAAACAAAACTGAATTCGAGTTAGTTCAATATAGTCAGGAGGTATAAATGTGTACATCACAGCTGACCAGATTCATAATTCACTACCTTCGAAACCAATCACGAATGAGCAAATTCATTACTTTACAGTTGTGTTTCAACTATTTTCATTCTCAACTGTCTTGATTATTTACGAATTTCGAAATATATTCTCAAACATCAAAATTAATCACTGAACTCACAATTCGTTTTGAAATATACAGGGTGTTCATTAAACACGCGGCAAAAATTTGAAGAGCTATTCCTTGGACTATTCTGGGGATATTTTGTACTTTTATTATTTTTGATAATAATAATAAGAGACCTATACTTACCTCGGGGTGGAAAANTTTTCTCTTCGAACTCCGCAGACTCTATCCAGATCACTCTGTCAAGATGGTTGTTCTGATTATTGAAGTCCTTGGTGGAATGATGTCCTCTCTACTCTCGAATCTTGAAATCATACCGGCTTGCCGCACTAAGGTCAGCTCCTGGCGAGACAAATATCGTCAGAAAAGAGGAGGAAAAACGAATATTGAGATTTTCTCTTCGAACTCCGCAGACTCTATCCAGACCACTCTGTCAAGATGGTTGCTCTGATTATTGGAGTCCTTGGTGGAATAATGTTCTCTCTACTTTCGAATCTTAAAATCATACCGGCTTGCCGCACTAAGGCAGAAATTTTAGCCATACAGATGCAGAAGGCTGTCATTCTTGGCTCACTGCGCATGCTCAAGGCACATGATTCTCGGACCCAATAATCACTTACCCCACGGTGTGGGGAGTGGTCGTTGGTTGATAATGCTGGCGCGCCCTCCCGAATGTATCGGGGCTTTGGGGGATAGGGCCTTACCAGCGCACACTACGGCACATCCATTAAAATCTACACATTTTTCATACAATGCTGTTCTATGAGCATTTGACACCAATAGACCCTTTGATCGAGTATTGTGGTCATGTTGATGTAGTTGAAAGATAGATTTATGTCTAAATACATATGCACAAGATTCTAATATATATGTGTTGGCGACAGTCAGAATATTCAGTTTTTTGAATGCATTCCTGCATGACTCCCTGTAACCTAATCAAGCAATTATTCTTATCACATATTTTGAATTAGGAATACCCTTTGCACAGCTGCACCAATACCCCAGTTCATGATACATGATACAAAGTTTTCAATACATTGATACTAAAGTGATTAGACATGAACCTAATGGAGAAGCAACATTTTTTTCAATTCAGTACAAAGTGTATCAATATGGAGATGCCACGACAGTTCTCGGTCCAGAACAATTCCCAGCATATTTACTGTTTCAAGTGGGCTTATCATTTCATCATTTAAATATATATCCACGTTGTTTAAGCTGCGATTAGAGAATAAGATGATATTGGTTTTGCTTTTGTTGAGTTTTAAGTTATTATTTTCCGACCATAGATTTATTTCACTGTACTTATATATCTTCTGTGGTTCTCCTCAAGCTTTCCTTGTTTTCTTCTATTATTAGTATGTTGGTGTCGTTTGCGTAACTAGTAACATATGTTGTGGAATTATTGGTAATAAACGTTATAAGATCGTTAGCAAACACCAAAAAGAAGAATGGACCCAAATTAGATCCTTGAGGTACTCCCTGGCTAATTTCAGATTCACAACTAATGCATTTGCCAACTTTGACTCTTTGTCTTCATTCCGACATTTTTTCAGCAGGTTGTTAGAAATATAGTCGTATCCACATGCATTAGAGTTTTTTAGTTGAGCAATGAGCTCTATTACATCACTTTCACAAACGGCCGTCATAAAGAAGATGTTTACGTTTGACGGTACATTATTCTCAAGAAATTTTGAATCATTCGTGTTTATTTCGAAGAGTGTTTTCAAGAAATTTTCATTAAATTTTTCAGCTAGTATTGTATCTTTGATAATGACCTTCCACATCTCTCACTGAAGTAGTATAAGCTAATGACTTCAAGTGGTCCCAGAGGAAATAATTCAGGGGGTTCAAGTCCGGTGCTCGAGCAGGCCATAAGTGAGGTCCACCTCGACCAATCCAGCAATCTCCGTATGTTACTGTCAAAAACTGTCGAGCCAATATTCTCAAATACGTTGGTGCACCATCGTGCATAAACCACAGTGCATTTCTTTTAACCAATGGTACATCCTCCAGAAACTGAGGTAGCGTTTGTTCCAAAAAGTTGCGGAATACCTCGCCGGTAAGTCTTCCTGGCAGAAATATCGGTCCAATTAGGAAGTTACCTACAATTTCCACCCAAATGTTTAACGAGAACTGATGTTGAGAGCAATCTTCAAGCACCTCATATGGATTTTATTCAGCCCAAACATGGTTATTGTGGAACTTCCTTATGGCATATCATGAGAAACTGGCTTCATCGATAAAAAGAATAAGCGTCAGTAATTGAGAGATTTGAACCAATGTGCGCACAGGCCATTGACAGAATGCAATACGTGGAAGAAAATCTGCAGGAAAAAGTGCCTGAACTCGTTGTATGTGGTATAGGTACAACAAGTGGTCTCTAAGAATGTTCCCAATCATCTCGTTACTTACATTTAAAGTACCTATTTGCAATTTTTCAAGAAGAGGTGCCTGAATCATTTTCTGTCATGGCCAGCACATTCTCCTCTACCATTCTTACTGTCGTTGGCCTTTCTTCTCCTCAATTTCGCTTCAATGCTTCTGTTTCACGAAGTAGATGTATACTTTGGAAGGTTTTTCTATTAGGCACATTACGATTAGGAAATCGTTCATTGTAAAACCATCTAACTTCCGATGAATTGCCATCAGCAAGCATAGACACAGAAAATGCGCTTCAAATAGACAAAATCAATCAGTTTCAAGCTATTCTACACATACAAATGATCACTCACGAGACACACTGTTCAAATCTGTTTTTTCATTAACCAGCTGTCGCACCCCTATGAAAGACAACCTTCAGAACTTGAAACTTGTGCGAGCTAAGGATTTACGAGGTCTTGCCTTTTAACTTGTGATTCCTGGTAGTATTCAAATTGAATGTCTGCAGCCGTTTGTAGTAATCGGATAGGTACCAACGGTGTTAGATTTTTTATTACTTGCTAGGTCCTGTGTAGTACGCTATACTTTTATTTCGGCTACGTTAATGATTTTGAAATTAACAATATTGTTATTGTTGAAATTATTTTTCGCCCGTATTTTCGAAACAAAGCGCCGTATCAAAAATCATCGAAGAACAAAGTATCATCAGAATAGTCCAAGGAATTGTCCCTTAATTTTAAACGCACTGTATAGTTTCTAATGAAAATAAAATGAAAACATCTACTCGGAGATGACGAGTGTATCTCACCAAAAATTTGTAATATGGCAAAGAAACTGATTTTTTTTGAGTACATTACTTATTAACAAAGTGAAAATAGTTTGAACCTCAAATTTGACTATGAATTACATACATCATTGTGAACTAGTTATCAGAACACGTGACCATATATTTTCAAATATCCAGTTATTTTTTGTCTTCTCTATTTCTAGTAGCCTCAGTTTGACCATTGTCGCGAGTATAATACTATACCTATTGTAAGAATATTTCAAAATGAAATTAATTTGTGGCGAATTTCACGTTGATAAGTGAGACTCCGTTAATTCTTAGATTGCACAAGTTTCGACTTCGGCGGCTTGTCGTTCATAGGGGGCGACAGCTGATTAACGTAAAAACAGAAACCTTCGAAATAAATCCTAAAAATTGAGGATTTTCAGTTTTTTAAATAACAAAACTAAAAAATACTATTGTATGGAAATGATCTTATACTCGAACACGAACAATGCCTCTTTTTGATAGCTAAATCCGTATATAAATTGATAGATCCAGCCGTTACTACGTGCTAGGAGATCATCATGGTAAATGAGAAATAAAAACTTTGTATGTTAATATACCCCCTAGATTGATATACCCCCAGATCAAAGAACCAGAAATCAAGAAATTTCTAACTCTAACATATTTTGGTAAATAAATAGAGACAATTACTGGTTTTTTCGTAAAAAACAATGCGGAAATGGCATTCAGGCCACGTGCCAGATTATCTAATTTTCTTCTCAATGCCAAAGATAAAGTTTATAAGCTTGAGTTTCCGGAGTGTAATAGTGTTTATGTAGGACAATGTGGTCAAAATTTCTCAAAACGGTATGCTGAACATGATAGGTCCTTCTTACTAGGTAAAAATGATTCGATGTTTCCAAAACATTCCTTGGAATGCAACTACAAGTTCCCGAATCTAAACGATACGGAAATTTCGCACTATGCAAGCAAAGGTTGGAAACTCAATTATTCGGAATTCTTGGAAATTCATAAGCATAAAAATTGCAAATGTAATCTGCTAAATGATCAAATCGATCTAGTTTCCTCACCAGTTTTCAAATTAGCGTATCCACATTGTCACGGGTAAACAAATTTCAGGTACTCGATTAAGTAATGGACCTCTATTATCATCTACAGTAGATAAATGAACGCTAACATTATGATTTATTTTCAGTTTATTGTAATTGTTTGAAAATATCATTACAGAAAAAAACTGCAGTAACGTTAGTTACAAATGAAAGTGGTAGAGAAACAAATTCATTTTTCTTATTTTTCATAAATATTTAGAATAAATGTTCAATTTTCTCTAATATTGCTACCAACGTATTCGAAAAATAAATCTCACGATAAAGTGTTTTTTGAATACGTTAGTTATGGATTTTCATCAAGTATCGACCAGTTCCATCATATATATGTTGGGGGTCTTTGAAAATACAGGAATGCGGGGGAAATCACCATATCTTCTCTAGGATCACACGGAAGAGAACAAGTAATGCGTCTTGATAATCACTTAAGCACGCCTAGAAATGTTGGTTATGGCATACCTCAAGGTACTATACTTGGTCCCCTTCTATTCTCTCTGTATATCAACAATATATTATCATCAGAGAGAAATGGAAAAGTAATAAGATTTGCTGACGATACAGCTATTTTATATACCACTGAAGGATGATCTCAAGAAGGTAACAGAAAAAGATCTTATCAATATATTCGATGGGTTTAAATATAAAAAACTCACAGTCAACTTCGAAAAGACCAATTATGTTCTGTTTACTAGTTACAAACGCAAACTGCCAAATTACCAAACGTTAGATGTGAACAAAAACACTCAAAAAATCCAAATATATACTAAGTATAACATTGAATACCTAAGAGTAACAATTGACTCACATAAACGAAGTCACAAGAAATATTCGAACATTGCTTTACAAATTTAAATCTACAAAAACCATATTAGATATCACTCACCTTAAAATATATCATGCACTGGTAGAATCACGTTTGAGGTACGCTATTTTGTCTTGGAGCTCAGTAGCAAGAGTATACTTAAAAAAATTAGATGTCCTTCAAGAACGAATTCCTAAAATAATTTGTAATAAAGTATATACATATTCTTCGAATGACTTGTTCAAAGAAACATAGGTATTCGACTTACGACAGATATACATGTACAATGTGATATTCTACACTTATAAAAACAAACAAATACTCCTTCAGATCGAACATACCTACAATACTTGCATTAAATCTAGGAAAGTCGTGAAAACAAATCTCGACAGAAAACATTTGTCCTGTTGACCATATAATTACCTTGGCGTTAGACTGTACAATGAATTACCAGAAATATACAAATTCTACATCCACCGTGTAAACCCCCTCGAACTGATAAAAAAAAGGCTACTAACATGTGACAGATAGACATAAAATACATTCACTTGTCGAACATTAAATATTGCTGTCTATTTTTGTTACTATGCAAATGTTTGTAAAAATATTTTAAATTTCATAATAATTTTAAATCTTCAAATCACTGTTTTACTCTTTGGAAAAAATGCTGTACAATATACAAGAAATGATGACCCATGCGCAACCATTTGGTCCTAAATTCTCTCAGTTTAGTTGCAAATGACACTCAGAGTTTATATGCCATTACTGTGAACATTTTAATGTGAATGAAATTATTATTGTTGTCAAAATGATATTAATTTTCAGTTGAAAATTGAGAACAAATATTCCTCAACAAAGTAAGATTCAGTATTCGAGACACCCGAATATTGGATAAAAGGCATTTTTTGTGTTTTTGACATTTTTTGTAATCTAGAACTTTGTACAGGTGTGAAATGAGTAAACTTTTTAGTTCACTTCGATAACTTGCTGCGTAAGTGTCTATCAAAAAATAAGCTGAGATATTATACAATCACTTATCTTAACGTTTCGGATGCTAAACTACGCCTTCGTCTTTAGAATTAAAAAAAAAACCGAATATAGGTACTCGTAGTTTCTTCATAAATATGTCAATGGTGATTGACTTCTCAAACGTTCGATGTAGTATAAAGGAGTTTTCTAATATTAGTATAATTGTGGAAGGTGAAAATACCCGAAGAAAAATCGATAAAATCCTGTATAATCCTCTGAAAAAAATTATCCGAATATTATTTTTTTAAATGCGCCATCGTCGTACTATGAGTATGATTAATAAAAATATTGTCTTGATCTGGTACACAAATGGCAAATATAGACAGTGCCCCACTCGCGAATGCAACTGTGAAACATTACTCACGAAACCGTGCAACAAGAATTTTCAGAAAGTGTCAGCTTATTATATTTAGAAACACGAATATAGGTCTCAGAATAAATAGAATTAACGCCCGACAAATGAGTACGAAAACGGCTCTATTTCGGGTTCATATCATCATCGTAACAACATAAAAACGAGTCATCAATGTATGAAAAGAAAGGCGACGATAAATTTAATTCACTTTCATCCCAATTTTTAGCTCTGGAACCCACGGAATCGCCCGTCTTTGTCTCGCCTTTGTCGAACGTGATGGCAAGAGCAGGACAAAAAATAAAATTGGAATGCGAAGTTACTGGACTGCCCCTGCCAAATCTAAGTTGGTCACATAACGGCAAACCAGTGAAAGAAACGCGTGAAACTAAGGTAAGATCCGCTGATTTTCGTAAACGATAGTTAACTAGTCGGGAGGTTGAACTAATCATGTTAGTATAATATCTGTTTTATGTATGAGTAAATATTCACGGTTTTTTGGCACCTGTTTACCCTGTGAGAGCGAAAGTTATGTTTTATTTTTAGGCTTAATTATCTCCAAACATTCTAGTTTATGAAATGTTGGCCCGCCCACCAGTTGAATCCAAAAATATCCCGTCCATTTTTCAATTGATTTCTTTTTCAGTTGTTGCACGAAGGCAATAAAGCAACCTTGATTGTCAACGAAGCCTTCCCCAAAGATGCCGGGACTTACTCTGTAAGTGCGAAGAACATCGCAGGAGAAGCGACAAGTTCCTGCAGCGTTTCCGTAAAAGGCCGTCTTCCAACAGAAACCTCGGACTCTGAAATAGCCAGTGACATGGAACCAATAAAACCCTCCATCCAGCTACCCCTGACGAATATCACCGTTCCAGAAGGTAACAGGGTGCGCCTGGACTGCGTCATCGTCGGCCAACCAGAACCGGAAGTCATCTGGTACCACGACGGAAGGCCAGTGAAGGAGTCACCTGACTTCCAGCTGCTCTTCCAAGGGGATCGCTGCTCCCTCATCATCCAAGAGGCCCTTGCAGAGGATGCAGGCGAATATAAAGTCGTTGCTTTGAACTCGGCAGGTGAGGCCTCCAGTCAGTGCATACTCAGTGTGGAGCCATCTTTAGATTCAGAGGCCAAACCGAAAGAAGAGAAAACCAAACCTGTTGGAACACCGCCAAAGTTCTCAAAACTGTTGTCGGACGTGCTAATTTCAGAAGGGGATAAAGTAATTCTAGAAGGTAACGTTGTCGGTGAACCAAGGCCCGAAATCAAGTGGTTGCTGAACAATTTTCCCATCACAGACACTCAGCATTTCATTCTCTCGCACGATGACGAAGGAAACGTAAAGCTGGAAATCCATAGCGCCAGACCTGAAGACAAAGGGGTGTATACGATCAAGGCTACTAACCCCCTAGGAGAGGCAAAGTGTTTTGCGCAACTCATAGTGAAGTCCTTCAAACCACCGGAAAGCGTCAAGTTCGAGGAGATGAAACAAGCTCCAGAATTCAAAGAGCTCTTCCACGACAGATCTGCTTTTGAAGAAACTAACACAAAGTTTGAATGCATCGTTACCGGCAAGCCGGCACCAAAAGTTAAATGGTTGTTCAACGGGGACGCTATATCTGGAAAGGACTTCCTGATATCAACTTCCGGTGACCGGCAAGTGCTCTCTATTCCTAACCTCAAGAAAGAACATTCTGGTACCATTACCTGCGTAGCAGAGAACGAAGTTGGCAAAGCAAGCTGTGCTGCGTCCCTCCTAGTCCAGTCAACCTCATCCATTACTCTACCAGAATTCAAGGCTACCACCCTACCTCCTCTGCAAACCGTTGGCCAATTACCTTCGACCACACCCCTGGCACCTTTGAGGACTGAAAAGACTTCACACGTTGAATCCTCCTATATTTTCAACAGAGAAGTTGTGACGCAAACTTCTACATCACAGTCGAGCAAAGTGATTTCTTCCAGCAGCGGTACTGCTGAACCTCACGTGGAAGAGCACAAAGTTATTTCTGAGAATGCACAGACCATTAAACAAGTCAACCAAGAAGCACCTGAAATCAAAGAAAGTCACAGAATCGAAGAGTTCCACAAGGTGGGAAAAGAGCCTCCAGTATTCCACGAAAAATCCTCCACCACGTACACCATTGGTGAGAAGCAGAACTTCCAAAACCAAATCACATCGTCCCAGCAAGAAATTGTGCACAAACCGATAGTGAAGATGAGGCCACCGAAGTTTGTAACTCCTGTAATTGGAAAAATTGTTGACCAAGACGTAGATGTAATACTAGAAGGAATTTTGGATGGAAGTCCTACTCCAAAAGTCAGTTGGACAAAGAATGGGGAAGAACTTGCATCTGGTGGAAAAATCGAGATCGAGTGGAAACTGAACAGAGCTTCTTTGAAAATAAAAAATGTCACCACAGAAGATGCGGGAAGGTATTCCTGTACAGCTGTCAATGATGGTGGTACAGCAGTTAGTACTGCGGATTTAGTTGTGCGAAGTAAGTAAAATTATTTTTCTACAGTTTCTATGATTCACTTGTGATAGATATCTTCTATTTGATTGCGTAGTATCATAAAAGGTTATGCACTTCATTGTGTGCATGTTTTTTTGATTAAGATTGTGAGATTTTCACTAAACAGTTCACAAAACCGTAACGCTTGTTTAGTGTTGAGTGAAAATTTGAGAATAAAGTGTTACCTACTCGAATGTGATGGTGATAATAATGAAGAGGTAGTCACTGAAACTTTTCAATTTCATTGTACTATCCCACACAAATGTATCCAGTTGAAGGTAGATTCATTTTGCTGCGTTTCGTTTCTGACGGAAATGCAAATAGACATCTTCAAATTATTATAAGAAAAAAATATGGCTATAATTATTATGCTATTTCTGAAACACTTTCTCAATTTCATTTATCTCAACGAAAAGTTGTTTTTTTTTAGAAACTGTATTTCCTCCTGTATTTGGACGGCGACTGCAAGCTCAAATCATCAAGAAAGGCGATAGAGTCAACATGGAAGTAGAAATAACTGGAACTCCAGAACCAACGGTAACATGGTTCAAGGATGGGGTCCCAGTTGAAGATTGTTTGAAAAATTTCAAAATCAAATCCATGGGCCAGTGCCACACACTCGTTATAGAAAAAGGTATATTTCAAATTATTATAAAACCCGTCATCTTTCATTAATTTTTTTATTTCATTTTTATTTACTTTCACTTCCTTTCTCCATTCAGCCGAGCTTGATCTCACTGGTCGATTCATGGTGAGAGCTGTCAATTCAGGAGGTGAAGCCCAAAGCATAGCTGATATCGCTGTATTTGAACCGACACCAGATACAATGGTAGAAGTCGTGAAAACAGTTGTCTTCGAAGATGTCCGCAAGCACGAAACTTTGGTAAGATCACATTACCCCTCGAACTGATTTTATTTCTGAAAAATATGTCCTCCATTTCTCCTTCCATATAATCCAATATTTACAGACATCGGCCGCAGATAAAATATCGTCCAGTATAACTACACCAACACCTGTAGCTTTAGAACTCCCTAAAATCGAGACTCCAACCTCCATTATCTCATCAGGTCAGATATCAGAGTCAGTTTCCTCCAAGTCAGAATTTGTCTCTAGCAGGGAACAGAAATTGTCACAAGAAACTCAAAAAATTATTCTTGAACACAAAGTTCCTGACATACCAATGCCCAAACCCATCGCAATTAAAACCCGAGAAGCTCCTTTAGAAAAACTTCTAGATTTCGAAATTGTTGGGGAACCAACCACAACGCAAGAGGAAATGGCACAAGAAAAGTCAGTAGACGTGCAAGAAGGCATAGAAACCAGCTCCATATCCAAACAATCTTCTCTACAGTACTTTGTGAAGAAAATCAAGGAGGGTGACGCTCCCGCTCCAAAAGAAATTGCGTTGCCAGAACCTATCAAACAAGAGATATATCAGAAGTTTGAATCCATTAAAAATGATACTGACAGGGAAGTTCAGATACCCATCACGCTAGAGGAAAAAATACCCCCGCCTGTTCCTCCAAAACCAGAATCTCCAAAGATCATTACACGACAGGAGTTGTCCTTTCAGCCAGCCATACAAGAACAAAAAACATTTGCTTCCTTTCAGCAGACAATTCAGCCAATAAAATACCAGACGTTCTCATCCACTCAACAAGCAACACAAGAAATTCAACTTCAGCCGGAGCCACCTGCTGAAATCTGTTACGCTCCAAAACAGGAAGGTTATAAAAAACACGAGGAGGTATCGGAACGAATCAAGCGACTTTCAGAAAGTCAGAAAGTTTTATCAGATCACGAAGTACCTGCTGGTGCAATCAAAATATTTCCATCAACTCCCAAGCAGGTCGAGCAAGGGAAATGTTTCTCACAAACCGAGCAATCCTTCCAACAGAGCTCATTTCAAACTTCATCATCATCTTCTTCTTACAGTAGGACCTTTGAAGGCACAATCAAACCTTTCGACGAAGTTCCGAAAGACAGTGTACATGCTTTGAAACTGGAGCCGGAAAGACCTACGTCTTCCTCTTCTAATTACTCGACAACTGAGCGACAGTTTTTCAGACCTCTCTCGGCTCAGTCCGCACCTGGTGAGCCTTCACCCGAAGGATTACTTATGGAAAAACAGTGGGCCCACAAGTTTTCCGAAACACACGTAGAAAAGTCATGGCCCCCACAACAGGATGAGGTAAAAATTCAGCCTTCTTGGTCAGTTCAAAGCACTCTTGAGAAGAAGTGGACACCAACCGTAATCAAGACGCAAAAAAGTTCTCAAGAACATAAAGTTGTTGTGGACCAGATCCCTAAGCAACACTATATTGCCGAGGTTAGCAATTTGGGGAGTATCGTAGATCAGAGAGTGTCAACTGAGAGTTTTTTCGAGAGTGAGAGCCAGTCTGAGAATATTGTAGAAGAGAGGAATGTCCGGCCTTCACAGGTAATAAAATCATGGCCACCAGCTCCACCTGAGCCGGTAAAGCATGTCCCTACAATAGAATCTATGCCAATTAGACCCGTTTCAGTTCAGGACATCACAGATGAGGTGTATTTGGAACCGGGCCCGCCTCCAGAAATAGCATATGCACAACCACCTAGAGAAAGACGCCAGTCGTACGTAGAAACCATCGAACATGAGTTAGAAAAAAATTTGGAACCTGCCAAAGTTCCCCCATGTGCTGTGAGGACCATCCCCCCACCAAAGGAGTGGATTGCACCTCCTCCTCTGCCCCCGAAGCAAGTTTTGCCACAGGCTCCACCAGTTCCAGCCAAGTCTATAAGACAAGAACCTCCGAAGAAGATCATACAGTTCCAATCAAGTACTTTCGAAAAGTTTCCAGAGTTGGAACCATTTCCCTTCAAAGCCGAACCACAGAAAAGTAAACCACACAAAATAGGACCCCCACCAACACCATCGAAGTTTATCAAAGGAAGATTCACTGACAGTGATTACGAAAGTGATTTCGAGTCCATGAAGATTCCTCCCAAGTGGAAGCCATGTATGAGCGACACTGAGGAGCCAGCTTACCGTAAGGTTAGACCTCCAAGTCTTGTTCATTCTGGCAGGTCGCGATCGCAAGAACACGAACCTCTGCCGCCCTCCAAGTTTGATCATCCACCACGATTCGAAGGACCCCCTCGACCTGAAATCAACTTCGAAGATATCCAAGTTAAGAAATTCACCAAGCATGTTAGAGACATCAAGAAACCAGTATCTCCACCCATTGCGATTTACGCGCAGCCAGTGAAAAAACCAGAATCTCCTAAGTTAAAGCAAAAGCTGGTGATTGACGGGTACATGGCTGATACTGATGAGCCTTTCAGGCAGCAGAGGCTGATGACCACAGAATATAGCAAAGAGGAAAAGTCCGAATACAGACAGATTTCAAAATCGAAGGAAGAGTTTGTTGAAACTAAACCAAGGATGCCCAAATTTCCGATAAAGAAACATCATACGCCGGTAGCTTCAATAAAGAAGGTTCGCTTGACTGTGTGTTGTGATATTTTATTTTGATTTCTTCTATTCATTCTGCATGCTTCTCTCTGTTTTGACCTGAATGATAAAACTATTTTTATTTGTTTTTTTTATTGATTATTCACGTGTATTATTTGATTTTTTACTAATTTTTCTGCAGATTTCATCTCCACAAAGAGAGATTCGATATCAATGTTTTACATAGTTTATTAATTCTCTAAAAATGATAATTATTAAGATCCGTATTAATTTCCTTTACAAGTGGTATTTATTGTTAATTCCGCGAAGTCGTGTACTAAAAATCCGTGTAATATTTTCCATTTATATGTCAGCAGATTATTCTTGTGGCTAATCATCGTTATTAAAAAGGACAATAATTCAATGAAACGGAATCTTCTTTAGTTCTCGCTTTCTTTAATATTTGTTTCACAGTTGATAAGAGATTAAGTTTGGATAACTTTCCCAGTTTGATCATGCGCATCTAATTCTTTAAAATTTTCACACGCAATTTATGAAAACTAACAGAAACCACCTGTTTCAATATCTTTTTCAGTGTGAATTTCTAATCATTGAAGGGTTATATTTCTAGAAGAGATTGAGTTTTGAGGAAAAAGGTTTTGGCTTTCTACTTCCCCATTTCCCAAAAAAACAAGAAAGCAATCAATTTCAAAATAAACTCTCTACAAAGGATCCCACATTTGTTTGTATGAAAATGGCCAAAACCTTTCTTTCTAGAACCTATAATTGATAGTTAGACAATCCATAAAATCCACCAAATTATATCAAGAAACTGTTTTTTGTATTTTCACGCCATAGTTTGAGTAAAAGCATTGAAATCATCTAACCTTCAATGTTTCAGTGACTACTTAAATCATGTATTAATTATTCTATATCTTCTAGAATGAATTTTCTCACTTGCAGGAACTCATCGCTACACCAATCATCACCAGCCACACTTCCGAACAAATTTACGAGCAACACGAGAAACAAACGAAACTAGAACCCTTCCCGTTCAAATCCGATCCTCCTAAACCCAAGAAAGGTAAATGTCCCCCACCTCCAAGCCCCTCGAAGTTCCTCAAGGGAGAATTTCGCGAGAGCGACTACGAGAGCGACTACGAAGGTCGGATTCCTCCCGTGTGGCATTCGGATACAGAACACTCCTACAAACCCGTTCGACCTGTGCTGACCTCTAGCCAGCAGCAAAGACAGTACGGCAGAACCCCCACTCCTCCTACTGAATTCGATAACCCTCCTCAAGTCGAGTATCCTCCGAGACCGAAATTCGAGCCAATTGAGAAAATCAAGCCAGAAGTCAAACCGTTACCCAAATCTGTTGTTTACAGACCTAAGCCAATATCGGCAGCTGTTGTTTCCAGAGAAGTAGTTGTCGCAAAACCCACAAGCGATACAATAATCTTGCAACCAGGTACTCCTCCTGAAATTGCTTATGCGGCTGGACCGAAACAGACTCAGTACTACAGATCTACGGTCAGTGCTCCATACACTAACGCTATCCAAACTGAAACCTCCAACGTTGTCCATTTCAACGAATCCACAGAAAGTTGTCATCGAACTATGAGTGTGCAGCAAACCCACAAGGTCATCAAGTTTGGAGACCAGCGGCAGAAACAACAAAAACTGGAGCCATTCCCATTCAAGCCGGAACCTGAGAAACCCAGGAGATCAACAAGTGTTCCTCCTCCTCCTACACCCACCAAGTTCCAGCCTGGTGAATTCCGGGAGAGCGACTACGAAAGCGAAGTTGAAAGCACCAGGATAAAGCCAAAGTGGTCTCCTAAAGGTGGAGAAGGCGAAGGCCTTCACTACAGGAGGGTGAGCGCCCCTGCCTCCCACAGATCATCCAGCGCTCCTGCTCCAAAAGAAAGAGTACTTACTCCGATGGAGTTTGATACACAGCCTCCCCAGCTGCCTTTCCACGTTTCTAACAAAGATCTAGTGGATGGAGAAAGCAGAAAGCAGGAGTCGGTTTACAGACGTTTCACAGATAACAAATCGAATCAGCTTGTTAAGAGGAGTCACTCTCACGAACCAGCACTGCATCCTGGTACCCCACCAGAGTACAGGTTCGCAACCGATCAAACAATCACCAAGTCCAGTGCCACGAAGATTGCGACACACCATATGGACAGCATGACGCAGACTTTCAAATCGAAGACACAGAAGTTTGTCACAGATATCATGGAGGATGTTAACAAAAAGAAATCAGGACCCAAACCGATTTTGAAAAATGGAACTGATGGAGATGCGCAGGTGTACAGGGAAGAATCGCGAGCCGCACAATATGGTAAGTGTTCTTTGTTTTGATTCTATAATTACAAAGCTATTCAAATAGTCTCTTCCGGTTGAAAGTGGTCGGTTTGGAAAATGAATAAAAAGTAATTCACCTGAAAGAATTGGGATCAGAAACTATTGGAATGAATTGAATTTCATGGAGTTAGAAGTATATCTCGAAGGAAGTTTAATGTAGCAAAAATCTTTCGAAACATTCACACGTTTATTTTAAACTCAGCATATGAATTGAAGTACACTGAAGATCAGAATACTTGAGCAACTAAAATTTTGCAATTTTACATAATAATAATAATGATAATGTAACGCAGGACTCGATACAATATAAGCGTAACCTCTCTATGGCCTGGATCGATTACCGTAAGGCATTTGATATAATTTCGCATTAGCTCATCTTGCATTTGCTCAGATGCCTTGCGGTATCCGACAAAATAGTGAGATGCATTAAACAACTGATACAACTTTGGCGAACTCGCTTTACCATAACATCCGGTCAAGCAAGAGTCCAAACAGGGTGGGTCACTTTCAGAAAGGGTGCATTTCAGGGTGATTCCCTCAGTCCCCTTCTCTTCTGCAGCTCACTATTGCCATTATCCGTTGCGCTTAGAAATACTCGAGGGTATAACTGTGGCACCCCCGGAAACCGGAGGCACAAGATCACCCATTTGTTTTATATGGATGGTCTCAAACTTTATGTCTCCATCAGTCCTTGAGGGTGGTAGAAGAGTACACACATGCTATCGGTATGAAATTCGGGATAGACAAATGTGCAATGGTCCATCTCAAAAGAGGACGATGCGGGGACTACGGAGAGGATATGCAGCTCGTAGATGGAAACATCCTACACCATCTGGATGCCGGTTCCACCTCGGGGTGGAACAACGGCAGTCACAAGAGGTAACAGCAGTGAAAAACTCTCTCCGCGGCAAGTATCAGCACAAACTTCGACAGATCTGGTCATCGGAACTGTCGGGGAAGAACAAAGTTGCTGCAGCAAATATGCTTGCCGTTCCAATCTTACTCTTTTCGTTTGGAGTAGTGAAGTGGACTCGGGAGGAGCTGTGTCAACTCGACGTAAAAACCCGAAAAATGATGCATCTCTATAGGAGTTTGCATCCCAAATCGTCCGTTTCACGGTTGTTCTTTCCCCGACAACAGGGAGGCCGAGAATAGGGAGGAATTTTGAGTTTGGAGTGTCTACATGACAGAATGGTACTGGATACAGCCTGTAAAGTCGTCAGGAGTTCGAATCCCCTTCTCTGCATGGTCCGTAACCATGAGAGAGCAGGAATTGGAGCATTTCTCTTTAGGGCAGCTGCCCGAGCAGCTGATGAACTTGGTATAGTTTTCGACACTGAACGAGGTGACCACAACTCTGTCACCGAGTTGGAACCTGTTCAGCAAAAAGCTCAGATAAAAGCCGCAGAGATCACCTTACTTCTGCGGAAACACAAGGATGAGCCAATGCATGGGGTCTTCTTCAATAACATTGAAGACCTTGGCTTATCAAAGCGCCTGACGTTCGCTTTTCTCAGGTCGAGTGGGCTGAAGTCGGAAACTGAGGGGTTCATCATGGCTTGCCAGGATGGTGTCTTCAACATCTTAGTCTACCGCAGACGCGTGATGGGTATAGAGGTTCCTGACACAAGGTGCAGGGCCTGCCGCGAGGCGCCCGAGACCCTACTGCACTTGCTATCAGCATGTCCAGCATATGCGGTCTTGGCCTATATTCAGCGACATAACGCGGCCCTAAGAGTGCTATATCACTATCTCCGGCACTCTTACGGTATTGACGAGACACCGGTGTTGCCCTACGCTCCAGGGGATATTGAATCCGTTGTGGGGAACGAGAAGTGCCGAATTTATTGGAACTATTCGTTCCCCACCCTCAGGCTCATACAAGCTAATAAGCCTGATGTAGTGCTTCTCGACCACCAGAGCAAAACGATATTTTTCGTGGAGTTTTCAGCTTCTGGCTAGACGAATATCGTCAGAAAAGAGGAGGAAAAACGGATCAAATATCGAGATTTTCTCTTCGAACTCCGCAGACTCTATCCAGATCACTCTGTCAAGATGGTTATTCTGATTATTGGAGCCCATGGTGAAATGATGTCCTCCCTACTCTCTAATCTTAAAATCATACTGGCAGAAATCTCAGCCGCACAGATGCAGAAGGCTGTCATTCTTGGCTCACAACGCTTGCTCAGGGCACATGATTCTCGGACCCAATGACCACTTACCCCACGGTGTGGGGAGTGGTCATTGGTTGATAATGCTGGCGCGCCCTCACGAATGTATAGGGGCTTCGAGGGATAGGGCCTGACCATCGCAAATTACGGTTGAAAATAATAATAATAATGATAATTTTTTAATTTCCACAAATTAGTGTGCACATCAACAGCATGATAATGGAAATAAAAAAGAGAAAAACTTCAATAAATTCAAGTAGAGAAATGATATAAGAAAATGTATATACATATGAAATGACAAGAATGATTGAATATCTCTTGATGTGTATAGGACCATCACATCCACGTCACAAACAATTATTACAAATAATATAAAGTATAAACATAAAATATAATAAAATTACTAATTCTACGTGTGTATAAATAATAAAGTTGTATATTAAATTAACCGTACACTTTATGGAAATAAAGTTACGGCTCAAACTCCTCAACAGTGTAGAATTTTTTTGACAATAAGATTTGCTTAACTTTCCTCTTGAAAATATGTGCATTTCCTGAAACTTTTATGTCGTCGGGAAGTTTGTTATACAGTTTGCACCCCTGATATTCAAAACTTTTTTGGTAGAGAGCCGTTCGAATTTGACTGGTTAGAAGTGACCATTTCGTGTCAAATGGGTATGTTATGATCTGTTGATAGCCAATTTGTTTTAATTGCGGTTTACATATGTGCATACCCCAAGTATGTATAGTCCTGCAACTGTTAATATTTTCAACTTCATAACTTTCAGCATACGACTCTGTAAAAGTATATTAGATTTTCTTATTATTATTTTCAAAACAGCACTTGAGCGGGATTATAACCTACAATTTGATTTTAGAATCACGCCTCTTCACCAATTAGTTCAAGATATATTACATATCGAAATGAACCCAAACAGCAGCGAATTACGGCTCGCCAGATTGTTCCACAAAATGTTGCTATGGCAGGTGTTACTGAGGAATGAAACAAAATTCCACAGGAAACGATTTCAAACTTTTATTCAGAGCATGACAAAAACAATCGTGTGATTTAGTCAAGTGGGACGAAATCCGATGTTTACTTCAATCGCATTTGTGAATTCAAAATATCAAAAATCAAAAGGTACAGGGATATTCAAAATATCCCTGTACCAAATGGGGTTTCTACATTTTAGATATATCGTCATCCATGATTTTATTCAAGTCTCTATCATTTCTGTCATTCTCCTTTCGATATATGGAAAGGGTGTAGTATTTTAGCATTGCATCTTGGAGATGATCACTTGGTAATCGAAACACGTGTCGAGGTGTTGAAAATAACGATTTGGTGTTGGGAAAAAAACTCCAGTAATATCAATTGCAATTATAAGTGAATATTGCAATGATGAAACATTGACTGCACTTTATTCAGCAAACAATAACAATTTTTGTATGGGACAGTGGATTATATGTACCTTCAGTTGAGGCGACAAGAAATTACATAAATTTGTACATCCGATATGAGTCAATCACGTTCAAAATGTTACAAATTATGAAGAATCAAATAAAGCAAATTTATATCTATTTTCCTTCGCCAGAACAAAAATACTATCTGGAGACGAGCGTTTCGCTAATCAGGAGATGTAGGACTCTTAATGATGCTGACTCGGTTAGCGAAACGTGTCGAGAGACAGTATTATTACTGGTGAGAGAAAAGTATTCTCAATAAATTAATTTTACTTCATAGGTTCCAAATTCTCAATGTTGAAGAAAATTTAGGTTACGCCAAGTTTTTGAACCTGAGTGTATTGTGAATATTGACTTTTCACTTTGTTAATATCGAAGTATCTGGTAAAACAATTGAAAAACATTATTATTTTGAGAACTAGAAAATCATGCCATCCAGGTTATTATTCAAAATACTTTGCAACATCATCCAATGAAGAACTAATATTAGATAGCTGAATATTCGGTAGGAAGTTCATCTGTCTCCTTTCTCCAGGAACTAAGCACGTAGATCCCGACACAGGTCTGATTTACTTCAAATACGACTTCGGTTACGAGTTCGGTATAATTCTTCCCGGGGAAAGTAAGCAAGGCGGTGAAATACCCGTTCCCAAGAAAACCATCATCGAGCCTCCGAAGCGAACATCAGACATAGAAATGCCAGTCTATCACGAAAAAACCGTCCCCAGCACTAATCATACTCCCGCGCCTCAATTCAAACCGAAAAAGTTCACGACCAGCAACAAATCTAAATGGGAACCGACGTCAGAGAGTGAGATGTCGGAGTACGAGGGAGAGGCTAAAAGAAACACCCTCCTTCCACAAGGTTCGCGATGGGAGCCATCTTCATGTAGTCCTGCATCACTGTCACCTAGTTTGCCAAGCACGTCTCCAGCTTTTAACCATACTTTCGCAGGTACTCGGTGTGCAGCATGGCAATAATGCACGTTACTAATGCTTTGCTTTTTTTCTGCTTTTGAAATGAACTAACAGTGCGAGTATTTTTGTATGAAATATATCGAATACGAGGAGGATCCCATATCTTAGGTCAGATACATCAAATGAAATTGGTTGTGTCGACAATGGTATTCGGATGACGATATTGGGTGAAAATAACTATATAAGACCAGTAGAGGAGCGATGAAATTTCAAGAAGGAAACTTCTTCATTTTTATATGTAGTTTTGCAATGGAGTTTCTGGAGTTCTTCAGGAATACATTGTTGTAATGTTGCGTTCCAACTCACTGTCGAAATTTACCTTACAATTCAAAATTTATAAAGCTTTTAGTAGCATGGCAAACTTTCAAGCACCAACATTTTGAGAATTATTCTAACCTCGTAATTTTTATCCACCTGTAACCTTCAAAAGTCGTTCTGTATCCTCCTGTGAGGTATATCAATATTTTTTTTTGCTGTTTGATGGTTGTATTTTTAGCTTATTGTGAACTCTTTCACCGTTGACTATAATCCAAAAAAATGAGTGATTATTCAAATTATAGGTTCAGCAAGAAAAGGAGCAGAAACTCCTCCCAGTTGTCCAAGCACCCCTGGAAGTACCCACGGAAAAAGTGGTTTGCAACAAGGGCAGGCTAGAGCTCCCATGTTCATAACGGTGAGTCTATTATATATTAACAATAGATAGTTTGCAGACTGATAAAGAAAATAACGAATAAATGTATCAGAGGATATGCTTGTTGTTAATTGACAGCAATATTAAGTTAGTAAAGATTGGAAGTCGTAATCGTAATGACCGTTTGCTGACTGTGGGCCATAATAATAGACACGATGAGTTATTTATCTTCATGAACATGAACTACCAGTTCAAAAAATGAAGAGTATATATATAAAGATCCCCTTAATTGTTATTCTAACAACTCAGTAATAGGAAAAGTAAATGGGTAAAAAAGTTGTAATTTGAAAAAAAAAATTGTGATACTGAATGCTCTACCACTCGATAGTGATGTGGAGTTTTGCGAAAGATTTCTTTATTGACTACGTTATACATATATAGAGTACATTTATTAGGTAGTCCGCATTCAGAATTTGTATTGATGAATATGGTATCTGTTCAAAGAAAAGTTTTACAAAAAAAATAATGAATATTGGGAATAAACAAAATTACGAAGATTCAGAGTAACGCTTACTCAAAAATTCTTATAGAGAATAACACCAATATTTTGATTCTTCATTCATATTAATTTAACTTCTCACTTGTTCGGGCAATTTATTAAATAGATCAAATGCGTGGAGTTTTTTTTCTGACACTGCTAGACTATGACGGAGCTTCCATGAGAAATTTTTCAGATCTGATTGAATATTCATGAGCATAAAAATGTTGGAAGAAGCAAAGTACCACATTTTTTCTAATTGCATTACGCCGTAATACATTCATATATTTTTTCGAAACAATATTTCATCTGCTCAACTGTGTTCTCAAAATAAAATTCCATGTGAAATTCATCGGAACGACAAGTTGAAAATTTCGGATGGAACCCTATATATTTTTTCAGACAGTTTAATGAAATATAAAATTTCCTTCACAACGCTATAATACAAGTGACCATTTTTATTCTTAAGGGTGGCTAAAAAGTCATGTTCTTCAAATGCAATATGGCAACACTATGACGTCATCCTTGAAAATATAAAAAAAATTGATGGTATCAGATACAAAAAAAAATTCTATTTTTCCACTGGCACAAAAAATACCTTTGCAAGATTTTGTAATGTAAGAAACACATTTCAATTTTGAATTACCATTAATGTTTAATTCTGAAAATATTGATATATTCAAAATAGATAGAGTAGACATGGCATTTCAAATGAATAAGTAGAATATACGTGAATAGATGAAAAATTCTCGAATTCCTTTTAAAAAAGTCCGCAAACTTCTTCTTTTGTCCCGCACTATATCAAGTTTTTTGACTTATTTTAATTGATAACGTAGAGTACCGCCATATTGAATTTGGAGAATTCCACCCTATGCCGCCATTTTGATTTAAAATAGCCACTTGTGTTATATCGTTCAAAACAAAATGTCATATTCCATCGAATGCCTGAAAAAATATACAATATTCTATTGAAAATGGCGATCAATTCAGGTTATCATCCACAATTATTACTACTACTGTAATATTATTGACAAAAATAGGTGAAAAAATAATAGTCTTCAATAATATTTTCTGATTTGAACTTTGTGCTCATTCCGAATCAATATAATGTAAATGTATAATGTTATCATGTTCATTGCGATTCCTTTTTTCAGAAAAAAAAAGTTATTTTAACATAGAAAGACTTGTTAGGTGTTAGTAGATGATTAAAATAGCCAATGACTTTTTGTATTTGGAAAAATATACTAATCGATATTGATTGTTCCTTTCATCAAACGAAAATTATTTCAACATTCTTATCGCATTGCGTTCAATACTATATTTTATGCACTTCACTTTATTCTGTGAGAAATGGCCCTAAATTGAAAGTGCTATTTTCGAAACTTTTCAAACTGAAGATGAATCATCCAGATTCCAAGTGATGAGGTGTCTAGGGGATTAACTTCAAAGAGTTTCAAGCGTGTACTTCATAACAAACACATTTCAAATTCGAGCAAAGGAAAAATATTTTACTCACAGTTCTAAATTAAGAACGTGGAATGCACTGTCTGGGGACCGAGTGTATACAATCACTTCAAGTCTTCACGATTATAAAATGCTCACTTTTCCTAACTCATTTTCATAGTGCATACGTACTAGAAATTAGAGTTTCCCGAGACTATGTGTTTTCATTTCCTAGTTTTGTTTTTGGTGTAAATAATTTTTACGTCAAGAAAGAAAATCCCTAATATAAAAAATGGCCATTGTTCTCTCAACAATATAATTGGAAATAGTTTCTTGACCACTTGTCAATATTCGAAACTGTTGAACGTTTGAAATACAAATCATTAATCGAATAATAAATAATAGAAATCACACTATCGACCAGAAAAAAAAATCAAAAATCCATTTATAACTGAATATTTATTACTATAAAAGGCAAATGAGAGAATGCACTTTTCATAGATTTGCTATATTATTTATTGATTTGTATTTTGAACATGCTAATGAAGAAATGAAAACTGTGAAAGTTTATAAATTGATTCAAAAGTCAAGTCAAGTGACCTGATTGCAATTGTTTTTAGTGATACATTTAATATGTGTGATTGATGACTCGTTTACTTTATGGTTATTCATGATCACTTAAATGAAATGAATGAATGAATAAATGAATAGTTGGGCGAACCAGGATGCCAACTTTTAAATTTCCACACTGAAAATTCTAGGGGTTGTTAAACTCATAAATTCAAGAGAGGAGACCTACATAAATCGAGTTGCTCTATTAGGGGTATATGTTTCTGGTTTTTAATTGATTTGTTAATTTCCATGGTCTCCAAAAAATTCATTTTTTTCCCTTCGTTACATATGTGTAGGATTTTGAAGTTATCTTCAAGATGTTCTTATATTACAGATTTTTTGCCCAAACAGACGTGTTCACGCAGTCTTATGTCACAATTTCTACCGTTTTGGCCTGTATATACTGCAGAGCATTCGCCACACTATTCTATATATAACTGATTTTTTCATTCTATCCGGTTTGCGTTTTGTAATAAACAGGGTTCTACCTAAATTTTTATTGCTTGTGAAAGCTGTTGATATTTTGTATTCAGAGAAATAATTTTGAATATTTTCTGAAAGTTTACCTGAGTAATTGATGCTACTGTACTCGAATATATTGTGTTCTCGGCAGTTTGGGTATAATCTACTCATAAGTGTTTTGTGAGTTTTACCTGATATCATTTTTTCTATTAGGGAAATTGGTACCTGATTGTTCACTGCAGAACAGAAAAACAGAATTTGCTTATTTATTTTTATTTCATCTTGGAAATTCTTTTCCGGTAAAGGGATTGCGACAGCTCTGTATATCATTTCTTCAAAAATAATTATAATTTTTACCTGCAAAACTCAGGTCTCCCTATGGGCTCACCATTGAGTGACATTCTGGCAGACATTTTCATGGACACACTAGAAAACACCCGCATTCTTATTAACCCCCTTTCACAGAAACATATTGTGTTTTGGTTCAGATATGTTGATGACGTACTGGTTGGTTTTGATGGTTCAAACAGACAGATTAATCAATTTTCAAACTCAATAGTCAATAGTCTGCATAACAAAATTATGTTCACAGTAAAAATCGAAATAACCAGGAGTTTAACTTCTTAGATTTGAATATTTCAAGAGTTACTAATGGTTTTCAATTCAATATCTACCGGAAAAACACGTTCACAGACTGTACTCTTTCAGTCCGCTCTCACATAAGTTATCCGCGTTTAGGTCAATTATACACAGGTCTTTAGCAATCCCTTTACCGGAAAAGAATGTTCAAGATGAAATAAAAATAATTAAGCAAATTGCAGTGAACAATTAGGTACCAATTTCCCTAATAGACTGCCGAGAACACAATATAGTCAAGTACAGTAGCATTAATTACTTTCAGAAAATATTCAAAATTATTTCTCTAAATACAAAATATCAACAGCTTTCACAAGCAATAATAATTCAGGTAAAACCCTGTTTAATGCAAAACCCAAATGGGATAGAATGAAAAATCTGGTATATATAGAATAGAGTGTAACGAATGATCTGCAGTATCTACAGGCGAAACCGTTAAAAATTTTGACATAAGACTGTGTGAACACGTCTGTTTGGACCGAAAATCTGCAATGTACGAACATCTTCAAGAATCAAACCATAAGATAAATGAAGATAACCTCAAAATCCTACACATATGTAATAAAGGGAAAAAATATATTTGTTGGAGGCCATGGAAATTAACAAATCAATTAAAAACCAGAAACATATACCCCTAAACAAGCAACTCCATTTATGTAGGTCTCCTCTTTTGAATTTATGAGTTTAACAACCCCTCGAATTTTCAGTGTGGAATTTCAAAAGTTGCCATATTGGTTTGCCCAACTACCTGTCTCTCAAATACCTGTTCTTGCAGTATACCTGAAAAGTCTAATATAATCGATATTTCAAACTTCATATACTTGATGATGGGGTCGAATCCGAAACCGGTCGTATAAATAAAATCTACCAGTGATATTTAGACAAAACTGTTTTTATTCATTTCATTTAAGTGGTACATTTACTTGTGTTGCGGTTTGGTAAACCGTACAGTCAAATTCTCACAATGAATACGTTATGGATTTGCATCAGTATCATTTCACTAACATATATTCTGTTTCATTTCAATGTTTCAGCCTCTTCGAGATATTGCAGTAGTAAGTGGACAAGCAGCCAAATTCGAATGCATCGTACAATCGGAACCCCAACCAAATATTCTGTGGTCGAAAAATGGTCGCATCATAGAAAACTCTCATGATCATCAGCTCCATTACAGAAACGGAGTTTGTCGTCTAACAATTTCACAAGCCTACCCAGGTAAGAACAAAACCACTGGGATTTTATAAAAAGTAAGTTACGAGAAAAACAAACCTGTTTTTTGTACTTCCACGATGTGGCCAAATATTTGTTTCGGCCGTTAACGAAAAGAGAAATTCGTGTAGTCATTTACATTTCAGCATTATATGTAACTTACTTTTGTATTATATTTCCGAAAATACGAAGATATTTTCTTCGAGAAATTTCGATAAGAATTTCCCAAAGCCCCGTTGTAGACCATGTACACTTCTTGATTCACAAGAATTTACAATAAAAAATTGCACCCATCATTTTGTGATTATTGTGATTATAACAAAACAGGGTATTCAGTCAAAATCTGATATACAGGACTATTCAAATTCGTTTCTGTACATGGGGATTTCGTAAACAATAGGAGATAGAGTGTCGGTGAAATTATGGCAAAGTTGTGTATTTTAGAGACCTATTCAATGATGTAAAGAAATCGAATATTTGGTTCTGGAGATATACAGGAAAAACAAAAAAATCCAATTATTTTTTGACTATATCTTCTTAATTCGCAGACATTGAAAATCTGTCCACATTTTGCTATTGGCACTTGATGTGGGCTCTCAGAATATAACCATGAATATTTCATACAGGGTGTCATCTGACTTGAGTCACCCCCATCTTTGAATTTTTGAATACGGATCTGTATTTTTTGTTGTAGTTTTTTGACCGTAGACGTTCACTTCATACTGAGAAATTAAATTAAATTTTATATTTCGAGATGTTTCAGTAATATTCGATTATAATTGTGTGAATCATTCCCTTTCAAATCACGGCCTTGGAAATTGGTTAAATAAAAACATAATAGATACTTTCACGTCTCCCTATGTATCGTAGAGTTTTTCGAGAGTTTTCATGTATATCTCCAGAACCAAAAGAGCTATATTCAATTTCTTTACATCATTGAATAAGTCTCTAAAATACACAACTTTACCACGATTTAATCGACACTCTATCTCTTATCGTTTACGAGATCCCCATGAACAGAAACGAATTTGAATAGCCCTGTATAAAACGAAGTCGCAATCTTCCACAATGGTGTAGTAATTCAATCACACTGCGGAATATTGCGAAACAATCCACTGCATATGTAGAACCAATTCCACTAGAGGATGGGCCATATTACCAGGTCTACTATTTTTTCAGCAAATCTCGTGTTTTAGTCCTCGAACTGGTGTTTGAGATGACTCAGTTTACTTTCTAAAATAATTATTTGAAAATGACTGTAAATAGTTTGTATCTCTAGAATATATTTTTCAGTGTTTTTGTTATCAATATACTATTTTTCTGACACAAAATCTACTGTTGAGCACAAACATGACCTGGCAATACTGGCCCTGTCAATATAGCCTGACTACGTACTCCACAAGCACAAAATATGAAAGTTAATATTACTTTGCTAATAACAACACAACATATCATTGACTATAAGGCTATTAGAAGTTAAAATCCTGGTTTATTACTCATGTTGGTCGGTCGGTAGCCGGGCGGTTCGACGTGGGTGCTTTGTTCACTCAGACAATCGGCCGTTGTGAGTCGGTGGTTCAAGCCGCAGGCAAAACGCTCGATTTTCACTCGCTATCGTCCAACCCGTGTTAGAAATCACACGTTAAAAGGTAAGACCTCGTTAGTCTTTAGCTCGCACAAGTTTTGTTTTTTAGAGATTTTTTTCCAAACACAAATATTCGTGAATTCTGAGTAACATTACATGAAAAAATTCTTTCATTTGAAATGATCTGAAACTAGAAGATCAATTGAATAATAACGTATGATTTTCATTTACAAATCGGAGTGTTTCAAAATATCTCGATTGTTGATAAATAATTTTATAGAATTCGTGATCTCAAGCAGATTATGAATTGGTCTGCATTACTGCATCAAAAGTTTCAAATATTTAGAGTATACTGATACACATTGTTGGCATACAAAACAATGTTTCATTATTATTAGATATTCGATAATGCCGTCTTTTTGTTAAATTCAATAGTGACCCAATCAAAAAAAATATATCCCAAAAGATATAAAAATAACACAATGTCAAAAAATACCAAGAATATGTCGATGAAACTCAAAATATGTATCATTCATCCAAATGAAAAAAGTACCGTTCAAGCTAAGCAATGGCTTCAAAGGTGTTATAAGGACCCTGCTCCATCAAAAACGACAATCAAACGTTGTTTTGCTGACGTCAAACATTTGTTTTACATCTGTTTTTTCGTTAACCAGCCGTCGCACCCCTACGAATGACAACCCTCAGAATTCGAAACTTGTGCGAGCTAAGGATTAACGAGGTCTTACCTTTCAATGTGTGATTCCCAGCACGGGTTGGACGATAGCAAATGAAAATCGATCGTTCAAACTAGGGCTTTAACCACCGAAAAACATGGCATTCAATTCTAGTGAGTGAACAAAGCACGCACGTCGAACCGCCTGGCTACCGACCGACCATGTTTGAGAATCCCGGTATATTGCGTAGTGCTACGTTTTTTGGAACACCCATTACACCCATTTCTTACCTTTGAAACGGATCAGCTCCACCTAAGTCAGTGCTCAATGCGCTCAAACGTCAGGCGTTTAACACGTTGAATGTCATGTCGCTAATACGAGTTATTTGAATTTCCCGCTATGGCTTTCGATTGGTTGACGGGGTGATAACAAAAGTAGAGGAGTGTGGGTAGTATATCCCGACTATCAGACAAAATACGTTTGTGCCAACCTGGATACAAAGATAATTTCTACAATCCCTTTGCAAATAATCAAGCTTTTCAAATAATCGATTCTCGGTATTTTTTGGCATTTCCAATCGTATATTCTTGTCGAGAATCATAGAGGGACCGACCCCTATGATCCCTGTATATGTTCCGGTGAAGCAAACTTTCTAAATTTTCTTTTCATTTTCTAGAGGATGCAGGAACTTATTCTTGTACTGCCACGAATCCAGCTGGAACTGCAAACACGACGGCAACTCTGCAAGTACCAGGTGAGCGTCGATCTCAATACATAAAATAAAAAGGTGGTGGTGATTTAACAGGATCCTAATGAACACTGCCAATTTTTTAAGCAGTTTCGACAACACTAATACTATTTTTAACTACGAAGTGCCTTATTTTGCCAAGAATGTAACATATTCAATTATCACGATTCATTTTATTCACTCAATGGGGTTCCGCATTGTATGAGTAGAGGGCAGCACAGGCAACTAGTTTCATCAAAACGCATCATACTTTATTGTGCTTTAGTGTGTCTGATTTCTGAAAGTTCACTTCATTATACATCAGATCATCTTTCATCATCTATAGTTTTTTAAGAACAAATATTTGAAAAATGAGCGACATCTGTGGGCTTGATCAGTCACTAACGATAAATCCTGTATTCGTTTTTTTAGTTACAGGAACCCCATTGGATAATAGTTCAATACAAATTTGATTTTCGTCATTGAACTATTTGTTTTAAAATTAAGTTAGTTAGAACCTTTATTTTAAGACGTTTGAACTTATTCTGGTCATGCAGAGCTGGTGTAATAGTATACATTAATGTACATTTATGTTTGTTACTTTTACCATAATTTATTTATTTATTGTGTCTGTTACCTTGGATATTAAAGCTTTTCTGCATTCACACTATTCACTTACTTGGGCACCCCTCCTCTTCCTTTTCTTTCTTGCCTTAGAAGGGTATTTGGTAAGTACTAACTATTAGATTAGGTAATAATCTCACTAAACATTTGCTGGAATAGTATAGAAAATAAATAAGTTCAGTATTGACTGAAATCCATAAAATACGTTCAGATCTTATGTTTTGTAGCTTCTTTTTTATATTAAATCTTCGAATCTTCGAAAACACTGTTTCCCCATCACAACATAAATATTGTCTCTCCATGCGCGTTTCATCATAGCATCATCAGGAGATGATGCTTACTAGGCGATCGGGAGGGAGTGGAATCGTCTCCTGATGATGCTAACTTGGTTAGCGAAACCCGCATTGAGAGACAGTGTTTTTGTTCTGGTGCTGGAGGAGTCATTTATAAAACCATCTATTTGAAGTTTTCTCCCACTCAAGTTATTGAAAAAAAAATTTACTTATTTTGCGTTCAGATAAGAAAAAATTTTAGATTTACAAAACACAAATTTTCTGAACCTGAGAAGAATATATTCATATACGAATCTACAATGTCATATTTCTAATTGAAATAAAATCAGTCAATACTTTGCTTGTGAATGTAATTCGCTTTTTGTAGTTAGAGCTTCAACGCACCGAACAAAATATTCAAATTGCAAATATTACTGTAAATATACTCTCTCAAACTTTTAAGACTCGAATAATAATTTTTGAAATCCAGCCAGAATCGAATATCTAAATAAATGAACTTTACATGTTCAAGCCAGTCTTGGATATACCTACACAGTAGGTTGAGTGGACTGCTGCCTATCAGAAAACAACTACTCCACTGGCTAATACAACGAACGGCGTTCGATTATATACGACAGGCGTCAGTGCATAAATCTGCACAGACAATTTCCTGCATATGCAATTGGCAAAATAACTGAAAGAGTGGACTTTCAATTTTGGAACAGGCACACTTGCAGACCGGTTTCGAGCTCCATAGCCACTCGCCAGTGCAAGATAGTGGCCATATCCGAGACTGGCTTGGACATTTAAAGTTCATTTCTTTAGATTTGTTTACTGCCTGTCTTCAAGCATAGTCCACTGACTAATAATAAAGTTTTTCTTCCTCATTCAGAGAAATCGGGCAAATTTCGGATATGCAGTCGTCTACTAGATGGAGTAACATTTTTGTTGTTAACTCCAACTTAAGACGAGGAATGATATACTCTGAAAGAATTTCGGTTTTTAATTATGCAATATCACTGACTTTAGGTCGATGATGACCACAATCTTGCACTGACGAGTGCACTGACGTCTTGCACTGACGAGCCCAAAATCAGTCTGCAAGTGTGCCCGTTCCAAAATTGAAGGTCGACTCTTTCAGTTGTATTGCCAATTGCATATTCAGGAAATTTTCTGTGAAGATTCCTGTACTGACGCCTGACGGATATAATCCAACGCCGTTCGTGGTATTAGCCAGTGTAGTAGTTGTTTTCTGATAGGCGCCAGTCCATTCAACTTACTGTGTAGTTCTGTTGAAGTTCATTTCTTCAGATATGTTTACTGCCTGCCTTCAAGCATAGCCCACCGATTAATAAGAAAAAATTCAACTATGTTGGAGTTATAATGATGGAACCTGATGAGAAAGAAGGTGAGTCACATCATACAAGGTAGGTCTTGAACTCAAGTCATTTTCAGTGAAAATTTAAAAAAAAGTCTCCTACTTATCGATTTTGGTGATAATGTTCAATTCGCGAATCAGTTGATCACTTCATGGTGGGACTCGAATGAAACCGAAATCCAAAAACAAAACATTCATAGTTCAACAACAAACATCACCGACCTTTTGTTTACCTTGAATAAGTAAGGTTTCAATTTTAATATTTAGCTATAGAATTTAGCATGGGGACAAGTGAGTCACGTCACATCGCACTACGAGCGGGGATTCTGGGTTCATTATAGGTTACCTTGTAGTGAAAACCACAGAGAAAGACAGAAAGCAATTTCTCATCGAGCGGTCGATGGAAATGCTTATTTCCTCAAGAGACTGTCTTATTTAATAGTATGAGTTTATTTATTCATTATTTATTCATAATGAAGAAAATACAAGTGAAAGTTTTTATGTTTTTTACCACTTTTATTTGTAACTAACGTTACTGCAGTTTCCTCCTATAAGGACATTTTCAAACTTATACATTAAACTAAAAATGATTGATTACATTAGCCCTTATATAACACCACTGTAGGTAATAAAAGAGGTGTTTACTAGTGACGATGTGGATATATGCTAATTTGGAAACCGGTGAGCATATCCACATTGTCACTAGTAAACAAAATTCAGGTACTCAATCAAGCTAAGTACTTCTTTTATTAGTATCTACTATATAAAATGATTTGAAATCTCTGAAACNAAGATTTGGCTATTATTTTCTACCAAGTTATAGATGTCTTGTCTATTTGATTGATACAAATATTAAAAAGTATAAAAAAATAAGAAAATACATGTATTTGCCTAAAACACTGATAATAATCAGTATAGTATATATGAGTACGGTATAGTACAAAGAGAAACTTGAATTTAGGAATATTCATTAAGCGAATACAAACATTTGTCTTCTCAAATTAAAAAAAAAATCAAATCATCTGAAGGAACAATTCGTTCAGTCTCATCTCCTCACAGTGTAGGTTGATGGACTGACACCTATCAGAAAACAACTACTCTCCTAGCTAATTCCACGAAGGGCGTTGGATTATATCCGACAGGTATCAGTGCAGGATTCTTCACTCAAGTTATTCCTGCATAAGGTGTTGGCGGTATAACTGCCGCAATAGATTTTCAATTATTGGAGCACACTTACAGAATGGTTTCGGACTGTTTGGCCACTCGTCAGGGCAAGACACTGTCTATCATCAACATAAATTCGATGATTTCCGATAATTGAAAATCGAATTCCTTCAGAGTATCATTCCTCGAACTAGGCTGAAGCGAACAACACATAACAGGTTTGTCATCGCTCCATCTGCCTGTGAACGAGGTTACCAACCGCATTCCGAAATTTGCCTTGTATAAGGAAAGAAAACTTTTCACATATAGTCAGTGGGAATACTTGAAGACTGGCTATAAATAAAATCATTTATAGCCAGTCTTCAAGTATGTCCACTAACTAAATGTGTAAAAATAAAATATTCATATTTTCACAGTTTCTAACGTGACGTAGCAATGCATTAAATAGCCCCAGACATGAGCAACTTGGCGCACAAAAGGTTAATTTTCTTATAGCAAATGGTATAAAAAATGTTTTCGTTTGTCTTGTGTTAAAAGAGTAATATTCAGCAACACGGATGAATTAATTCCTATTCTTAAAAACATACAAGAATATTTCGTAGACAGTTAAAATTATATGTATTTTGAAATACTAGGGGCAAGATGTCATTTTTGACAAACCAATAATACATCTAGGTACTTTTTTCTGTACTTTCAGAGGTTAGAAGTAGAATTTTTCAATACACAAGTACCATATCGCAGTCTTGAGTTGACCTGAGCCTAATATAAACTCAGCTTTTGATTGACATTTAAGATCGATTTTAGATTAAAAAACAAATATGTTCAACTTAGAAATAATTCCAAAGCAATTTTTAATGAAGATGCTCATCAACTTCAATAGCTGAAATTTCAACGTTATTTAATTCTGATATGAAAATCATACACTAAACTTCACCCCCTTGCTGTAAGCTTCCCCCGTATACAAGTGATACATCACTTGACAGATATTTTGTTTCTGTATTACATTTGTGAGTTTTCTCGAAATTAATTCATTCGTTATCGAGAACTTGAACGTAAACGTATTATTAAAAAAAACTGTCGTTTATTGGCAAAATCAACAACGAATAGAATCAATTGGATCGAAAGCAACGTATAAATGGCCCAGAATGATCTCCTAGTACCTAATAACTCGACTTTCGAAAGCTTTCCTCACGTTATTCAAGATATCTGGGGGCAGCAATCGGCATTCCCGAACAATTCTCTGTCGCAGCTCATCTAGATTTGTAGAATTCATCCAATTAGTATTTGCCCTGTAACCGTTTTGACATTGATGACTTTCAATTTTTCCTGGAATGGCAGCTGCAATGTAGCTAGTTTTCGCAGGAAAAAAGTAGATATTTGTTCATTTTTTCACAGTATATCAGACAAGTAGCTCGAGAACCTGGTGTATCAGCTACTAGTGATTTTCGAATTTTGGAAGCCTACAAATTCCATCCTTTGAAAATCAGACTAATTCCAGGTTTGAACGAAGATGATCCTGATCATCGACTTCAGTGAAGAATTCCACGAGAAATTGACCAATAACCTTTCAAAGAATACGTATTTTTCAGCCGAAAGTATATTGACTGGTGAAGTATAAATAGACATAATTATCGCAGCTGGAGTGGCGAGGAAAACACATTCACAAATTTCACAAAAGGTCAATGTTTGGACCGGATTTTTTGTACAGATATTGTTGAGCCTTTCTTCATTACGGGTAATCTGAATGGAGACTCATACTCAAATCTATTACAAGAATATGTCGATCCTATAATTACACAAACTTAAAAAAAAAGAAAAGGAAATAACTTTCCAGCGATGGTGCACCCACACATATTTCGATGACAGGGTGAGACAGCGTTTCAACGAACGTTATCCAATGCGTTGGATCGGCAGACAGGGTCCAGTGGAGTGGACAACTAGTTCACCTGATCTCATACCATTGGTTTTATTTTGACTAGGGCACTCGAGGTCAAAAGTTCACTTTGCTAAGCCTACAAATCTAGGAGAGCTAGTTCATCTAGGACGAAGATGGTCCTTATCATTGACTTCAGTTTTGTGAGAAGTTTTTCGATATTTCTCCATGTCACATGAGCAAAAGCATATTTTGTTGATTTATTTTGCTGAAAACCAAATTGTTAGGGTATTGACTAATGTATGTTTCTTAAAGTAAGACGTCTCTTTAATTTTCAATACTTTCTCTAGTTTT